CCCCCGACAACCATAAGAGGTAAGGGATAGCCTATTTTACTTGTCCACTTTTTCCAAACACATCGCGGAGGTGTGGAAACAAGCAGCCCCATGGAAGTATGCGCAGTGGGGGTGGAAGCTTCATAAATGCAAACTTTTAGGGTTTTATGGGTTTCGCGCATCCCCATTCACAACCATGATCCCCGAACCCCTTTTGTGATCCAGTACCCGTCACAACGTCGATTTCACCTAAGAAAAGTTTCTTTTAAGGATGAATTTCATTAAAGTTGTCCCCGATTTCAGCCAGACCATTACCATGTTTGTGGGAATTCACATGGTTCTGCTGAAGATAAAATGGCCTTCCTTTCCCTTTTAGATTGACTTCTTGTCTTCCTCTCCCTTTCCCATATACCCACATATCTTTCTTCGTTTTTCTTTCTAATATTCTATTGTTACTCTGGATTATTTCTATTTTCATCGTCTTACATCTTAACCGCTTTCGACTCGTCGACTTCTCCACGATGAGCGGCTCTGGGGGATCCAAAGTGCCTACTCAGAAGACAGATGACACGACTCTATTTCGTCATATGCATGTTACTGACCAATCTGCTGAGCAGTTTTTCGCGCGGAAGGACCTTGCTAAACGCCCCGGCTACAATGCCACTGGCAAAGAGATCACGGTCGCCGTTAACTCTTACCCTATCACTCAATTCCCGACAAAATCGGTGTACCAATATGATGTAAGTTACTCCCTTACACCTAAGAGTCGATCTCATAACTCACCCCTACAAAGGTACACATTGGCAATGGTACAGAAAAGCGGGCCATAGTTCAGAAAGTGTGGAACTCACGAGCAAGAAAGGCCACAGTTGGAGCGAAATTCATTTTTGATGGGAATAAGCTGGCATGGTAAGCTAACTGTTCACGTACCAAAGGTTACCTGTAGTTTGGCTAACAGTGCCTCAGGTCTCTCGTTCGGCTGCCCAGCGACGTCAATGTAATGGTTGACCTAGACGCCGAGCAGGGCCGATCTGGGTCAAGAACTCCAAATATGTTTCGCTTAGTGGTCCGTCCGACAAAGAAAGTTAACCTGGCTGTTATCGAGGAATATATTCGTGGGAATGGTAGTATGTCAAAGGAAGTGTTGGAAGGGCTGAGTGCGTAATCTCCTTCTTTTTTCCTTTCCCTTCTCTTCCTTTTTGCCTTTCGTTTTAATTTCTTCTGATATTCAAATCTAACCTGCTTCGACCTTGGCTAAGGTTGTCTCGACCATATTTTGCGTGAAACCCCAAGCGGCAAATTCATTGCGATCAAACGCTCCTTCTTTAGCGAGCAAAACCCAAAGGCGTCCGTTGGAGGCGGGGTTTTTGCCTATAAAGGCATCTACCAGGCAATTCGTGTCGTCAACGTACGTTATCCTCAAGCATATCCATTTGCATCTTGTTAACATATAAATTTCTCTAGCCCGGCCGACTGGCCCTGAACGTGGATGTTTCAAACTCATGCTTTTGGGCGCTCATTTCTCTGTTGAGTGCAGCAATTGAAGTCCTGGAGCTTCGAGATGTCCAGCAGCTTATTAGCTGGACCAGGCCGGTTGATGATGGACATGGAGGCCGCGCGCCATCCCCTAAATTTCATCAATTGAGCCGCTTCCATAAGCTCGCTGTTAAGGCTTCGTACAAGGGCTGCCCTTGCCCGGACAGGGAATGGGTCATCAAGGAATTCCTTCAAGCAAATGCGAAGGAATATACAATTGACATGACCGACAGGGCGACTGGTCAAGTTCGTACAATGAGCATTTTCGACTACTTCCGCTCACGATACAACGTTGTTCTTAGCTACTGGGAACTCCCCCTTGTGCAAATGACCAAGAAGGGAGTGGTTTACCCCATGGAGGTTTTGGCAATCCATCGGCCCCAAAAATTCCCATTTAAGCTCAATGAGCTCCAAACCGCATCCATGATCAAATTCGCAGTCACTCGTCCAAGCGAACGACGCAGAGCCGTTGAGGAATCGAAAGCAAATCTTGCGCACGCTACTGACCAGGTTCTCATCGACTTTGGTTTGAAGGTTTCCGAGTCCATGATGACCACCAAAGCCCGTCTACTCCCTAATCCGGAGATACTCTTTGGCGGCAATCAGCGCGTTAATCCAGGTACTGCAGGCAGATGGGATCTTCGTGGGAAGAAGTTTTACGCTAGAAATTCAAAGCCATTAACTTCTTGGGGTGTGGGGGTCTTCCGCAATCGTCATGTAAACCAGGCGGACGTTGAAAGATTCGTTGATGCCTTTGTCCGCGCATATCAAGGCCACGGTGGTGCCATTGCCAGCCCACGGCCATTCATTGGTGAGGTGGAGGCAGATCCTGCGAAGGCGGCATATAGCTTGTTTCATTCCACAGGGAACAAGTTTAACCAGCGCCCAGAGCTCCTCATCTTTATTGTCATGGATAAAAATGCGTTCCACTATACTAGGGTCAAGAAATCCTGTGACTGCCGCTTTGGTGTTCCATCTCAAGTTTTGCAGGCCTCCCAAGTCGCGAAATGCAACGGGCAGTATATTTCAAATGTCCTTATGAAGGTCAATGCGAAACTTGGAGGCACTACTGCTCGGATTTCATCGAAGATTACCAAAGGGCTACCTCCATACACCATGATTATCGGAGCTGATATTTCCCACTCCTCCCCGGGGAGCGTTGCGCCATCCATGGCTGCAATGACAGTTTCTATGGATCAATTTGGTGGTCGGTATACGGCGGCATGCGAAACTAATGGCGATCATGTTGAGATGATTAGCCAGGCTAACATCAGGTCAATGCTCTCCCCACTCTTCCGTGAGTGGTCTGCAACAATTGGACAAGGAAGGATTCCCCAAAATATCTACTATTTCCGCGATGGAGTATCGGATGGTGAATTCCAGCAGGTCCTGCAGCAGGAAATACCATTTATCAAGTCCCTCTTGAAGGAATTCAATAAGGGTGTGGAATGGGGTGGGAAGGTGACTGTTGTGGTGGCCTCAAAACGCCACCATATTCGAGCTTTTCCTCAACCAGGGGATAGAAATGCCGCAGATAAGAATGGTAACGCTCTGCCAGGGACCTTGATCGAGAGGGACGTGACGAGTCCTCATGGATGGGATTTCTTTTTGTGGTCACATATTGCTTTGCAGGGCACCTCCCGTCCCGTCCACTATCATGTCCTTGTGGATGAGATGAACCACGGGCCGAAAGATTTGGAGAATATGATATACGAGCATTGTTACCAATACATGCGATCGACTACTTCTGTATCGCTCTGTGAGTTTTCATTCCTCTTTTTAGATCACGCGCATAAACTAACAGACAATTCTCCAAGTCCCCGCGGTGTATTATGCCCATTTAGCATCTAACCGGGCTCGTGCCCATGAAAATATCCCTGCAAGTTCGGGTCCCCGCTCTGGGCCTCAGGTCAAACAGGGCCAAAACCCACCCCCTGCGGAGCCTCCAAGATCCGAAGGAAGGCAGCTGCTTCCGATCGGCGAGGGAGATCGTTTGGCACTAAAGATGTGGTATATCTGAACGGTATTTACCACTTTGTTTTGCGATGGATGTTGCCTGGTTGGTTTTTTGCTTTTGCTTTCTATTTTCAAAGAAAAGTTGCCCCTGGGAAATTTTAACGGTGGATCTTTGAATCCAGGGCTAAGGAGAGAACCTTGATTTTTTCTTGACTGAGGAGAATGTCCTTACAGTGTGGGCAAGCAGGGTTAGGCATGGCTGCAGGACTTTTTATTTTGCTACACCACATAAATACCAGCGGACTTGGCAAAGTTGCTAGAGGGGAATCGGAATAGTTTTCGGCAATTACGTCTCCATTTTTCCTTTACTGCAGGTAGATATTTCCATTATCGGTAGCAGAAATTTAAATCGGTTCTCCTTGCATTTCTCCAGCCGCCTTTAAGGGTAGGGTTCATTTGCATATCTATCTATTTGACTTCAGGTTTTCTAGAGGTATCAAATAAAGATTTCTACATTTTCCGTCCGCTCCAAGCGTATCAACTATTACCTCCGCTCTCACTCGTTCCCAGACCGCTATATAATAGCAAGCGGTATGATGTGTGCTAACTGTCCACGGGATGGAGGGAAAGTGGGGTTTGTCCGTTCGAGGAAAAGAATCAGTGTATCATACAATGTTTGCTCTTGCACTCATTTCTCCTCATCCTCCTCCTCCACCA